AATTTGATGTAGTATTCTTGTAAATATGTGTACATTGCAAGCAAATGAGATAAAGCCAGCTCAATTATCTAATTTAGGGTAATCTTAACAGAGGGAACATCTAGTGAAAGAGAAAGATTTTTTCCCCCTAACAAGGGAAACGTTGGAAAGAGAACTTAGTAGTCAAAATGAAAAGAGTCCTTCCACTTTTAAGCTGTTAATTTGGCATGCTTAAATTTATCATTCACTCACAATAACATTTTCATTATAATTATTTTAAACTTAGCTTATTATGTAACTCTGTGAGTTAACGAGTCAACCCACTTAGTTTACATGTTTGATTCGTGTATACATGGATACATATACATACATAGATGTGTGTGTATATAAAATAATCAATATCAATATATTATTCATATTTAACCATTGCTTGTGAACAATTAATTAAAAAATAAATATAGCTGCACAATGCAGTTGGCAAGCTACCGACTGGTCATGGGCAGGAAACCTCCCGAGCTGATCAGTTTTTAGTTTTTTAAAATGGTTTTATTTTACATGTTTTGACAGTTATATTTAAATTTCAAAAAAAGTATATATCACCTCAATTCGAATTCTTAATATAAGGTTCAGTTAATTAATTTAAAGAGATTAAAGAAGTTAAATAAATTACTTTAAAATATTTATATTTATATATTTTTAAATTAATTTTTCTGACCTATAAATTAATATGTAATCTAACGACATGTATCAACATTTTAAAAAGATCATGTAACATATATTATAATTAAATGATTTATTTAATTATTTTAATTTTTTTAAATTAGTCAACTGTGTCTTATAGAGAGGTAATATACAATTAAGTAGGGTAAGAAATACACTAAAATGGGCAAATCTTACTAGACATGTGGTAACAGAAAGCCGAAGACTGGCAGGAGATGCCAACCATCTCCAAAAAAAAAAACACATATTTGTTTAATTCGAATTTATGTAAGCATTCATTTTTTTAATAATCTCTATAAATAAATCATTATTTTGATTATTATAATTTGGGAAAACATAGTTTTCACAATTATTGTCAACTTGTGTTAATATCCTTATAGGTTTTTCATTCAGGAATTAATTTTGAATTTATAGTGAGCTTTGGCTAAAGTCTTTACTATTAATACATTATTACCATAAAAGCGACGCATTATTGCCACATTGATAGAACAATATTTTAAATTCCTTAATATACATACATATATATATATATATTAATTACTGATTTTAAGCTTATTATTTTAAAATAATAAATAATTAAATAATAATATTAATCATATTCTTTTTATATCTATTCTTTTTTCATTCCCTTGAATCTTGATTTTAAAAGCTATCAATTCTTATCTAATATTATATTTATTAATTCAGATATATATTCTTAATATATTCATTTTAAGTGGTATATACATTATTATCCTACCTCCGGTGCCAAATCTCATATCTAGCATCAATATCCTTTGGTTTTTGATACAACATTTATGTAGCTCATAAATTTTTGAAATATAACTTGACTTTAATTTTATTTAATGTATCCATATCTTCCACACTCATTCATGCTCCAAAAACTCTTCTTCTGATTCTGCAAACTTTCTCCATCCTTTTTTAACGCCCTTCCAAACCCCCACTCCCTCTTTTTATTTTTTTTCCCCTTCCTTTTTTTTTTTTAAAACAAAAATGAAACACATTTATCTCCTGACTTTTTTAGCTCTTTACATATAACATAACTGGTCAAACACATTCATATTCAAGCAGCAGGACGGCGGCATCACAATTCAATGCAGCTCTATGGGGATCCTCACAGAGAGAAAGAGTGTAGATAGGAAAAAAGACACGAGTAAAAAACTTTGGTATCTTTTTTTTTTTTTTATATTCAAAATTTGGCATCTATTACTGAAAAGGGTTCATATGAAAAGATCTGATTGCAAACATTTTACGAGTTACGCCCCCCACTGTTGGAAATTATAAGACATTTTTCTACTCTTTCCATATCTAAAAATATAAGACATTTTTGTAATTTACTTGTGATTAAATTACCCATTAAATAAGGGTAGACATAAAAAGAGTAGGCAAGTTTTAATGATGTTTGACTATTTTCTGGAGGGGTGGAAGTTAGCAAAAAATGTCTTATCATTTCGAATGGAGAGAATATATCTTTCTATCCAAAGCATCATATTGATATTTGACGTGTTTTTAAGCACAGAAATACCTGGACGAGGTAAACCTCTTTCAAATCTTGAACATGTTTGAAATGAGCATCATTATCATGATAACTTGTTCATCGCTATGAATCTACCATAAATGCTCAATCACCAAAAATGAATCAGAGACCCCAGTGGAGTGATTGACACTTAATTCTAAGAGATGATTACAAGTTATGATCATATTTGTGAATTGGTATAGAGATTCCGTTAGAGTAAATTTCATTCAAGAAGAGGAGCCACATTTCAACATAGAAGCAAAGATATTATGAGGTCGACATTTCTCAATATCCTAATTTCAAAAACATCTCAACAACTCTCAATCATGCGAAGCATCACCAAACAATTGAATAAATCCTGTATATCATCCGACCATCATTTGCTTTCGTTACCATTAATTCTCCTAATTTCAAATACAACAAATGAGAAATCATTTTCAACTGTAAATGTCATAAATAATAACTTTAGGAATAAGATAGAAGATGAGAATTCATGCAAATTGCATGATTACTTATATAGTAAAGAGATTACTAAGAGGTTCATATAGATTTATTTTGCTATATTTTAAAAAGAAATTGCTCAAGTTTGATAATTTTAAAAAAAAAGTATGTGGCATATTCTAATACTACCTCCGGTTCTTAATATAAAAATCAATTAGCTATTTTTGAGAGATTGAAGGGGTTAAATAAATTACTCCCTTCGGTTCAAAATATAAGATAAACTTTATCCATTTGCATTTATCAAGAAATTAGTTAAAATCAGTTTAAAATAATAAATATGTAATGCATGTATTTTTTCCCCCCAAATGTGCCTTTATTAATGAAGAAAAAAAGTAAAAGATGTAATAAATGAATCAAAGAGAAAAAATATATATGTTACGAGTAAAATTAAAAAAAAACTCATTAAATACTTAAAAGTGAATGCTATCTTATATAAAACAAAAAAACTAAAACCTTCCAACAAAGTTTATTTTATATTTTGGACCAAAGGGTCTTAGTTATAACATACGTTACATGATGTCTCTAAAATACTTATGTGCATCATTAGATTATATTAGTTTAAATTTATAAGTAAAACAAATTAGTTTGGAACAAAAATAATAAATATAAATACTTTAAATTAATTTTTTTTAGCTTTCTTAATTTTTTCAAATTAGTTAATTAGGTTTTATATTAGAGATAAGAGGCAGTAGTATATTTCTGCATTAATTAACATGCTAATTTAAATTTCATCTCCCAAGTAATCACTTCTAGATCTGTCCATGGCAGGAAGCCTATATGCTCATATTTTGATTAAAAAAAAAAAACACACGACCTCAACTAAAGATCAAGTTATCTATTTCCCACAAAATAAAATAATTTGCAAATTGTAGAGTTGCCATAACCTCCTATGCTTACAAGCAAAGCAAATAGCCGAACAAGTTCTTCGTACCGCCTCATTGAACATTGGAGTTGTTTAACACAAACTGGCACTAACAATATTCTAATATAGCCATGAATGAAAACAGCTTAAACTTTCATAAATAAGCAATTGGCTAACCTGGTCAAGCTACATCGAAGCAGGATAGTGAAATGAAGTTTCTTTATGGTAGTATTTATACCAAGTTGGATTGTTCTTGGAAGTTTGCTTGGCCCATCCCAAGAGCAACCGTGTATAAATTTTATAACTTTTGTTTCATCACCCTTTGAATGAGCAAAGGCCAACCTGAAAGAAAATCAATGTTGATCTAAATAAATTCATAAAGTATATCTGATGCGTTCAGTCCAAAATCAAAGGCGGGAAAAAATAGGTGCAATCATATATGTCAAACATAAATTACTGCCAATAGGAGTTTACTCTGCATCGAAACATGCCTTCTGACAACTAAATAGAATTCGCTATACATTAATCAATTACTACAGCCCGAAAAGGCCTGTTTCGGCCGTTTTATGAATCTTGATTCTTGAACCTATTCCTATCCCTGTTTCCGGCCAAAATTTAATTAAAATATTTCCTTCAAACCGTGCAATTTCTAGCAAAGTGTTAAAATATATACTTACATCTCTTCACCAAAATATATATATATATATATATATATATATACTCTTACATCCATCGCTTAGCCCCTTGGAATTCCGGAAAATCCAACCACATTTGACAATTCATTCAGTTCAGGATTTAGAATTTCGACGGGCAGGCCTGATTAAAAATTCCCCGGGGATATTTGTTCAGATGGATCAAACTAACACCAAAGGGTTACCACGGACGGCCTTGTGAAGATCCTCACACTTGTCTAGCCTTGTATAACCACAATTCATACAAGACAGACTTCAGAAAGAATCTTTTAAGGTAAGACAACCAATTTCTGCATATGATGACAGCTATAACTAAATTCATATTACCTCCGGTCTTTAATATAACAGGATTCTGTTTGACTTTTAGTTTTGTTCTAAATAAATATAAGACTTTAATCCATTTTGTCTCTTCTATTTATTTATTTATTTTCTAAGATAGTTCTCGTAACTTTTTTATTTAGGACGGGGATGGAGGAGGAAGTATATTTTAGTCAGTTATATTCATGGATAAACTCCTCAGACCAAGAAGAAAACACGTCATGTCATGCAACAATTCTTCAGAATTAAAACCTCCTCAGTCTTTATATAGAGACCTCAAGAAGCTAGCCTTGCCCATCATCACAAAAATCTGCAGCCAAACCATGGCGGCAACAAGAAACTTTACAAATTTCCTTCTCATCGCAGTTCTCTTGGCAGTGACCCCCCGAAGCACGACGGCGTTATCTAATTCATGAAAGCTGCTTACTGGTTTGAGCAATCGATCTTCCCTGCTTCAGCCATAAACTCATCGTTGTACACTCACATTTGCTACGCTTTCCTCGTGCCAAACAGCATCACATACAAATTACAAGTTTCAAATTCAACGGCTGAAAGCCTCTCGAGATTCACGAGTAGCCTCGGCACCAAGACCCCTCCCCTAAAAACCCTCCTCTCCATCGGTGGAGCAGGCAGTAACCGCGCCGTGTTTGCTCAAGTCGCCTCTAACCATACTTCGCGAGAAACCTTCATAAATTCCGCCATTGAGGTAGCAAGAAATTTCGGCTTCGATGGGCTTGACCTAGATTGGGAATTCCCGCAAACTTCCACAGAAATGGATCACTTAGGCCTACTTCTCCGAGACTGGCGCAACGCAATTCTCGACGACGCCAAAAGCAGAGGCCAGCCGCCGCTGCTTCTCACCGCCGCCGTGTACTTCGCCGTCGAGTTCTTCCTATCCCCCACGCCCCGCACGTACCCGGTGGCTTCAATCAACGACAATATGGACTGGATCAACGTAATGTCCTACGATTATAACGGGGCGTCGAGTAACAGGACCGGGCCTTTAGCTTCATTTAACCCGAGAAGCAATGTAAACACCGTATACGGGCTTCGGTCGTAGATCCGGGCCGGGCTATCCCCTCACAAGATTACTATGGGCATACCTCTTTATGGGAGAACACGAGAACTCAAGGACCCGAATCTGTATAATTGGAAATACGGGCCAGTCTGGAGGTTACGGGCCAGCCCGTTATAACCTGCAGGTTATGTGGTGCGGGTTGGAGCAACCCGTATTTTGGTAGGCTAGAAAAATCCCAACCTCAACCTGGCATAGTAGGTTGGCAGGCCAGCCTGCCAGCCCGCTATCTTTTTTTTTATTCTTAATTTTCAAATCTTAATTTTATTTATTTTTTAAAATAATAAATGATGATCTAAAAGTTTAAAAGCAATCACAAGTATAAATAATGTTTAACCACATTTAAAATAGTCAATACAAATATAAAATAATACATTATAAATATTTTATATGATTAACATTCAACATCAACTCATCAAGTGATAAATTTTATAATTTTTTTCATACAAACGTCATATTTGATACTAAACACTATCTCTTAATAAATTAGAAGGGCATTTATCTAATTTATTTTAAGTTCATTTACCATGTTTTTTAAAACACTTTTTTTCCATAATAAATATTGTCTTATATTTGATTGTAGTCATTAAAATTTGCTATGATTATAGTATGCCTATTTTTAAAAAATATTTTTTATTTACATATGTGTTATGTAACATAAAAATTGAAATGTAAATAAAAAAAGAAAATTTTCAAATATAATAACATATTATTTATATGAAAAGTTTTTTTTTTAAAAAAGTAGCGGGTTAAGCAGGCCAACCCGCCAACTCGCAGGCTAGCCCACCACAGTCCACGGGTTATGCGATGCGGGCTAGAGCAACCCGCATCTTGGCGGGCTAGCAAAATACCAACCCTAACCCGTTCTTTTTATGGCGGGTTGGTAGGTTGGCCTGCAGGCCCCAACCCATATTCTCGGCTCTACGAATTTGCATGGAATCGGGGCTCAAGCTGTTGGAAAGGGCCCAGGGAATGGTGCAATGGCGTACTTCCAAGTGGAGGAGTTTAATAGGTGAACGGGTGCCAGGGTGGTGCATGACGTGGACATGGTGTCAGTGTATTCTTATTCGGGAACCTCTTGGATTAGTTACGATAATGCACTAACCATGACGTGGACACGGTGTCAGTGTATTCTTTTGGGCCGCTGGTTTTGATGGGGACGGGAAAATCTCCACAATGAAATTTTTTTTGGGGACCTTTTTATAATTGTTAATCCCGATAGCTTTGAGTTGGGCAAAGCTCAATCTCTGAACACTCAGTGCATCCTGGTTGACTCGGTTGAATTTTAATCGCTGGAGTTTAAAAAGAGAGAGAGAGAGAGAGAGAGAGTAGGATTTAGTTAATGAATTGAGAAAAATAACTCATACTCTCCTTCATATAGAGCTGGTGGAGTCCAGCTTAATCATATCAAATATCATGTAATTTTTTTTGGCCAGACAAATATCATATAATTAGGAAAGAAGAGAGAAAGGGGGTCTACTGATTAAATTGTCACAAGTAAAAGAATATATATATATATATATATATATAGATTCCCCTGTTCTGAATTGTTTCAAGTTAAAATTTAAGGTGAGATTAATAATTTAGATTTGACAAAAAGTATAGTGTGTATTTTAAGAATAGAGCAATTTAATCTAGATTTGATTCAAAATATAAGGGGTCATCACATGCACTTTTGCCCAATACACCATTTTATTTATTTAATTAATTCAACAAGGATACCATTTAATGCATAACTTTATATTTTGTTTACTACAAAAGTTTACTTATAATTAATCTTTTAACCTCACATAAGATTTCATTTTTTAAATACTGGCATGTTAACTTTGATTTTCAAAACAACAATAACTGCTACAAAAAAAATATATATCATTTAAGACTAGTTAAGAAATAACTTAAGAACTAATTAAGTGAAGAAACTAAACTGAAACCTCTAATCTAACTTATTTTTAAATTCAAAATGTACTTTATTCAATATTTGATCTGATTTCAATAAATTGATTTTCAATATATGCAGCATCGAAGGCTTGGATCGTGGAATAAATGAGAGTGGATCAATGGCTGACTCACATTAACTAATGTTGCTTTGATTTAAATTGGATGGGAATTTGGTAAATGTACAATATTGTTAACATGGGAAAGTCTCGTTTATTATCCATCTGATTTTTTTAAAAAAATTAATTTCTAAATTTCATTTCAAACTTTGTTCCATTTTCTGATGCCATATTAGAAGGTGCTCGATTGCTTAAAATTTTGTTCCAAAACAAAATAAAATGTTACATATCCTATTTGTAAAATGAGTTAGTTCATATACTCTGCGGATAAAAATATTTGATTATTGTTAGAATTAATTTAAAAAAAAATTAATAAACATGTAAAATAGGTCTTACATATTTATATAGAATCAATATTAACTCTCTAATTAAGTTCTATACTACGAAATAGAGGAGTAAAATATTACTCTCTTATGTGATAAATACAAGAGTTTAGTCTTTATTGTAAACACACAGTAACAACTTTATATAAATTATTCCATGCTTTGCTTTTCGTAAGTTAGGAGGGTATGTTGCTTTTTATAAACTATATTTTGTATATATTTAAACATTTAATGTATTTTTTTTAATTTTTACTCTTAATTAATTACATGTCTTCCTCATCTTTTTTTTTCACTCATTCTCTCCATCACCATATTTTTCATGAATAAGAAAGTTTTTAAAAAATAAGTTACATTTCTGCATATCTATTGTCTTTAACAAATTTTAAATAAATTTCTTTATCATATGTTGTATTTTATAAAAAGGAATGGAGTAATAAATTAGTTGAAATTAGTTATTTCTTATAAAATATCAAAATTATCCTTGATAAAAAATCATTACTTAGAAAATTTTGGTTAATTAGTTGGGAAGTTTTATAGCTAGGGATACTAGGTTAAAAAAATTAATGTTTTAAAACAAAACATGTTATGATGGAAAAAAAAGAAAGATATGTTATATTATAAAACGTGCCGAAAATCCTTAAAATAAGAACTAAAGGAGTAGTGGTTTTTTCCCTCCTAAAACTCTTGATTATACAGTTTAAGAGAGCTTTTCAATAATGAGATAGTTTCCAATGAAAATGATTAAAAAATTTTAGGAAAAAAAACACATTTTTAACATAAAACCAACTTTAAGAAATTTTCTTAATCTTTTAAATTAATTATTTAGCTCCTACGTTTAAGATTAGAAGAAATACTAATTCTAATCTTAAATATAAAAGCTAACCAAATGATTTATTTCAGTTTTAAATATAAAATCTTAATCCACTCTGTCTTTGAAATTTATAATTTATTTTCTAAGTATCTATATTCAATTCTTAAAATTCATAACTAAGTCCACACATCTCCAAAAATTACAAATTAAGACTCTTTAGAATTTCAAATCCAAAAATAATCACCTAAACATAAAATCAATTGGCCCTCCAAAATTCTTGATTTCCAAGATTGCTCAAAAATATGTAGGGTCACGACTCTCAATTACAAATCTTAGTATTTTTAAGCTTTAACATCCAATTTCAACTACTTAATACCTCAATTTTCTGAATAATCAAAATTTAATTAACTCAAATTCTTAGATTAAAACTTAGGATGTTACAACTGGCATATTCATACTTACAATAGTTTGAGTAATAGTCGATACTCATCATCTCTAAAGCCTTATCGATGTCGGAATAGAGTATCACACACATATCGACCCTTCATGTACATGCTTCTTTTATAGCTTATATTCACAAATCAACAGGATCATAAATTCTCTTTTGTTCTCCTCTTTTTTTCCTCCTTTTTCTGCTAAATTATAAATTGAAAACCAACAGATAAACAAATAATATTCCTAAAACAATAATAATAATATAGACAGAAGTAAAAGCAGTAACGTGTATGTTAAAAATTGCTCCAATAGTATTATGATGTTTATCCTGCTTGCTCGGAGGTCCAAAATTGAACAAGGGCTGAATAGGGTTGTAAGTGAAATATTCAAAACATTGGTTGAAGTGCAATTTTCTCCAAAACTCTGGGTTCAAAGTGTAAATTTTGCTAAAATCCAATCTGAAGTGCATTAGTGTGACGAGACGTGGAATTTGAACTCGCATTTGTTGAGGAGGCACGTGGAAGCTATTTTCGCCATGAAACTTTGGGTTCAGACCATGTTCATGAGTGCAATTCCAACGGTGTTGGTGATGCCATGATTTGACATTAGGAAATTTAGAATATAAAACTGTTAGCCGACGGCTATAGTAGAAAAGTCAATATCTACGAAATCTGGCCACCATTGGTGGCGAATTCGTGGGATCCGAACATGTTTACGCCCGTGAGAAGGATGGGGGTGGAGTTGCGGTGATGGGATGCCAAAAATTGATAGAAGGGAGAATGAACAAAGGATTTGACGCAGCGGTTACGAATGGTTTGAGGAGAGGCTGCATTTAGTTGTCAAAAGAAAAGAGTTTGGGCAAAGTGAAGAAGATGGGATCAGGTTTTAATGCCAAATTGATGTAAAAAGAGAAGAGAGAAGACGAAGGAAAGAGATAAAAAAAAAAGTAGAGAAGGAGAAACAGAGAACGAAGAAGAGAAAACAGGCGGAGAAAAAACGATAACTACAATGTTGTTTAATAATCAAGTCTGTCGTAAAATAAAAACTCTAGATCTAATTATACTGAAACAATAATAAAAATTAAAATAATAATAACTAGTCCTAATAATAAAAGTACTAAAATGCTGATAAATGTAAATAAATCTTAAAATAATAATCAATTCAAATAGATCAATTATCTTAAAAATATGATAACATCATAAATATTTCTTTCCATATCCCATCAATTTGTTAATAGAATTAATAAAATTCTTGATCAAGTTATTTATATTGACATAAATTTAGTTACTTGAACTTCTTCATAAAAAAATGAACAAATAATTATTTGAAAAAAGAAAAAATAAAATTAAAAAGAAAACTCTTGAATTCTTCTAAATAAGTTTATCTAAAATTAGGAATTCAAAAGGATGAAAGGTAAATTAGAAAATAAATTTTATGTAAATATTCTCACCAAAATTAATAATTTGAACATAAGTATATATTTTGAAAATAGAATGGAGGTTTATATAATTAAAGCAAAATAAAAGAAATGTTAGAGTACTTCACTCTTATAATTGTGATAAATAAAATAAGTTGAAGTGTTATATTTAAAATCAAATTAAACTCTTAACTAACCACTAGCAATGGTACAAACACAGTATAATAATTTATCTAGCATCAAATGTAATTTTCGCATGGCATTTTGTCTTTGAGAATTTTAGATGATACATTGACTTTTTTTCCTGTAATAATATGGATATTAGAAGTAAAAAAACAATAAATACATAATACATATCCAGAAATCCTCTAGAATTGCTGACTAAACCTAATTCTAATTGTTTTGTTGTGAAACAAAAACATCCATAACACGGTTAGTCCTATTCTGATATTCACGATCAAGAAGTACTGAATTCTCTTTCCTTTCAGATAGGCCCTAGAAGAAAAAATAAGACTGAAATGCCAACAAGCGTCTATTATTGAATTGACGGAGAGTATAGTATCTATTTTGGAAACATCGAGTGTCAAAGTCACTGAATGGGTAAGTCGCTAGTCACCGTTACCCTATGCTCAGCAACTCCCCCAACCCACGGTGCGTGACAGAAATGGGTTTGCGGTTCCGAGTCAACATCATTCAACAACAGTTCAAGGCTTTTACGTCTACATCAACAAACATAAATCAAACAGATGTTTTGAAAAGTCAAAATGTCACGTACCCTTAAAATCCGTACGAAGAAGGCCCATGAAGCTTTTCTCCCATGGCTTCCACTCATTCCTTCCTCCTCTTCTCTATTCTCCTTCATCTTCATTTTCACTCCTCAACTTCACAAAGTTGGGTCAAAGCTGGTTATTGGTATGCTGGCAGTGAATCCCCCATTCCTGACATAAACTCTGCTTTGTTCACGCACCTTATATGCGCCTTCGCTAGCGTCAATTCCTCAACTTACGAGATTTCCATAGCCAAATCTGACCTGCAATATTTCTCCACCTTCACCAACATCGTCAAGAGTAAAAACCCCTCGATCGTCACTCTTTTCTCTGTATGGAACGGACAGGCAGAAACTGCACAGGGTATTCTGGGCAAGAAGGTGAACGATTCGGTCCTTTCTTCGATGCTCAGAACCGCTTCTTCAAGAAAATCTTTCATTCAGTCCTCCATACAAACAGCTAGACGACATGCGTTTCAGGGCATTGACTTGTGCTGGCTTTGGCCTCAAGCAGAATCGGATATGACCAACTTGGGAATTCTGCTTCACGAATGGCGACTTGCTGTGGATTCTGAGAACAGAAGCTCTGGAGAATCGTCGTTGATATTGAGTATGGGTCTTCATTACTTGCCCACTGTTTTTGGGAATCTGAGTTATCCCGTTGATTCTTTGGTGAAGAATCTGAACTGGGGTCATATTATGGCTTATGATTATCATCTTCCTTCACTGGAAAATTTCACGCATCCTCATGCTGCTCTGTATGATCCTATAAGCCATGTGAATACTGATTTTGGTATAAGGAAATGGCTGAGCAGAGGATTTCCTTCTAATAAACTGCTTCTGGGATTGCCTTACCATGGCTACGCTTGGGCATTGGATAGTCCCAAGGAAACCGCGATTGGTTCTCCATCATCGGGTCTGGCTGTGACGCAAGATGGGTCTATGAGCTATAAGTATATCAAGTGGTATGTTCGGAGTTATCGTGCTCCTACGTTGTATAATGCTACCTATGTCGTGAATTATTGCACCATTGGTTCTATTTGGATCAATTTTGATGATGTTGAAGCTATCAAAACTAAGGTTGCTTATGCCAAGGAAAAGAATCTGCTGGGTTACAATGTATTTCAGGTGATAAATGATGATAATTGGGTACTTTCTAAGGCAGGTAAAGAATATAGTTTACCCATTGCAAACAACTGATATCTTCTATATAGGAGGGTTATGCTTTCCGTGGGGTCATACTTATGCATACAAAATTATATCTACTCAAACATATTAAGAAAATATGCGGTTTCCATATTACCATTATAGTGTTGGAAGAAAACCCTGTATCTACAATGGAACTCTGTTCTATAAATTGTATTTACAATCTTCATTAATCATTAGGGTCATTGTGTGAGACTGTGTGTCTTTTCCATTCAATGTTCTCTGGTATTTTAACTCATAACACTATGGTATCTCCTTTTACATTGTTTCTGATAGCTTCATACTAAGGTCTAGTTTACTTGAATACTTTATACTACTTTCCTAATATGAAGTTTACTTCTTTCTTTCTGGGAAACTCTCATTTGGAAGCAATGTAGTGCCTTCTTGTATGACATTCATGTTTTTTTCCCAGTAAGCATACCGCCTTTTTTCCCCTTGTGATCATTTTTTTTTTAATTTAATTTGATTAAGTAGTCTTGACTCTTTAAGTTCCTGACTACTCTATAAACCCTAATCTGTACACGTTATGTAACTTGGTGTAGAGTAGAGGGGCTTCCATTAACAGTTTCCGAGTGATTAGATGCATTATTCATTGTACAAAACCACAAGTTCATCTATCTTCTTTCAATTTTTCCTTACTATGGAATGCCACTCCAAAAGCTAATTCAGCAGATCACAGTAACCTTTGAAAGCTGCATACCTGTTGGAAGTAATAGCTAAAAATATTGAATGGAAATCCTTTCACACTCAAAGAATGTGAAGATACTCGTGAAAACTCAAGAAAACCAGAAAAAAAATGATATTGATTTTTGTGAGAATTAACAACTCAAGATGAACATCATTGACAGCTCAAGATGAAGCAACTGATCATGGAAACAGACGGAGGCTATTACTTATTATTTTACTTCCAGTTGCAATCGTCATAACATTGGGAGTCTTTCTACTGTGCTGCTTAAGAAGCAAGTCATTCAAATCAAAAGGTAATCAATAATTTAAATTTGAATGTTCTGGTTATTTTTACTAAGTACTGGTAAAAAGAGAATTAACGCTCAGACCTTTCTGTTTTCTCCATTTATTACAGTGAAGATGGTGCTTGGCAAAAGTTTGCCGTCTGAACCAGAAGGTTCCATCCGCCATGCTGAGAGCATTGAAACCAGTGCTCCACATCTTGAAGAATTTAGCTTTGCCGTCATAGAGCGGCAACAAAAGATTTTTCTGTAGAAAAACAAGCTAGGAGAGGGTGGATTTGGCTCTGTTTACAAGGTAATAGATTTGGCCCTTTGAACATTTGTTTCTGTAAGATATTCTTGATAAAGAAGCTATATTTTCTAATTACAAGTG